AAAAATCCCTGCTCTTGGGATCTTAGACACTTGTAGGAGGTTGGGGGAAGAAAAAAAAAGGTAGCTGGGTAACTGTTAGATGGAAAAAAATACTGAGGAGAAACTAAAGCCAGGACAAAAAAATATACAGGATAGAGGGTGAGTTTCCAATGAGATGAGTGGGGAAGAGTCCACCAAGCAAATGACAGCTGAGTGTGGACTGGAAGGTGGGGAGCTCATCTAGTAGCTCAGTTAAAAGCCACAGACACAGATGAAGGGAACAATAGGCAAGCATCAGGAGAATGAGGAACACAGAAGTCCTATGTGACTGGAACAAGGTGAGATGGATGGGAGGTGGTAGCATAGTGATGGGATCCATGGAAACCCTTGTATGGAGTGTGACTTTTATTCTTAGTGAGGTGGGGGTGGTTGGAGGGTTCTGATAAATGGAGGTGACATGAATTGCATGACTTGCTCTGGCTCTCTTATTGTAAGTACCCAGTGAACTAGGACCAAATCAAGAAGATCAGTTACTGCAAAGATGTGGGCCTGAGCTAAGGGTAGCTTGGACCGGTACAATGACAGTGCAGGGGTGAGATAGCCAGCCCTACTGAGGTGAAGATATGTTGAACATAGAAGTGACAAAGAATGATAGCTGACAATTATATAACCTTGGTACGTGCTAAGCACCATTCTATGTACTTCCCTATTTATTTATGTGTTTTCTTTATAGATGAGGGGACTGAAACACAGAGAGGTTAAGGCTCTTGTCTAAGACTTTGTAGCTAATAACTAAATCAAGCAAGATTCACACTCAGGGAACTGACTTCAAAATTCTGCTTTTCAATCATATCAATATGACTTTTCAAAATAAGTATTTAGGCACTGTGCTCCAGCCTCATCTAACGAATATTCTTAAAGAATACATAAATTCTTAGTAATATATGTAGATAGCTATCTCTTTGGAGAGTGAATACTTTGAAGATGTATGAGCCGTGACTTATTTATGTAAACAATGGAAATATCCGAAAGACAAATTCCTTCAGATCTGTTGAGGATATATCAGAATTTTCAAGGACTTTCACAGGAACAAAGAAAAAGAGCCTGCTCAAATTAGAATTACTAATCTCATGAGAGCTTTGAAATTTTAGTGCTTAATGAAAATGGTCATAAGATCTGTAACACGAAATGAATAGTCAGGAGTCTCTCTAATCCGGAAGACAGTAACATGAGTTTAAAACCTTGTTAGTTCCTATATGCTGGATGCCAGATAGAGTCCACTATTCGAGGAAAGCTAAGTTTAGTAACTGAGGCTCTATCTCATTTCAAACAGATGGGCGCTAGCGTTTCAAACCGTGAGGGAGGGATTATTTCTAGATTTAAATGTTTGTAGGATTAGCAATCCCTAAATCCACCATGCTGTTTTTAGTACTGGGGGTGCTGCGAACTACTGAAATGGCTCTTACTGTAAAGTATGCTAGGGCATTTCCAAGTTTAGGTGAATTTGAGGGAACGGTACTTTTGTATGAAAGATGGAGAAAGACTTTCCTTTCTTTGGTTAGCTGATTCTCTTAATTTCTTGTCATTAATATTTTTCCTTAGGGCTGGGGATTCAGCTCAGTGGTTCCACCGCCTGCCTTGCAAGTGCAGGGACCGGAGTTCAATCCCTGGTACCCCTTCCCCCACAAAAGGAAATAAAACATTTTTCCTTGCTGTGGATATTGAATGGCTTTAGGAGGTCTGATTTTTGATAAAATAAAAGGCATGAACAAATACAATGAGGGGAAAAAAAAAACCCAAGCCAACAGACCCCTAAGATACAATATGATGTGTGTGTCAGTGTCAATGTTCAGGTAACCAGTAAAAATTTCCCTCTGGGTTATTTCTTATTCTTTATAAAGAGTTCAAATTTGATTGTCTACTCTCTTTAAGAAGTTAATGATGTTACAATGATTTATTATTTTATTTATAAACATTTTTCAAGTTCTTATAATTAATATATTTTTGCTTTTATTGATGAACTATGTCTCAAAAGGATGATTTTTTCTTTACTTTTGACAATATATAATAGAAAAAATTTAGGTGTAGATCATCACATACTGAGTTTTAGAGATATGTTTGAGTGGAAGTATTTTTAAATGAACATGCTCTTCTCCCAGTTTGATCTGTAAGAAATACACCGTGGTGTGAATGACATCATCCTTCTATACACGCAATCAAATTCTTTCAAAGGTGGCGGGGCATGCATATCACATATTGAGTTTTAGAGATATGTTTGAGTGGAAGTATTTTTAAATGAACATACTCTTCTCCCAGTTTGATCTATAAGAAATACACCATGGTGTGAATGACATCATCCTTCTATACACGCAATCAAATTCTTTCAAAGGTGGCGGGGCATGCCTATGATCTGAGCACTTTGGGAGACTGAGGCAGAGGATGGAAAGTTTGAGTCCAGCCTGGGCAAATTGGTAACTTAGCAAAACCCTGCCTCAAAATACACAAAGGGCTGAGGATGTAGCTCAGTGAAAAGGCCCTAGGTTCAACTTCCTACACTGAAAAAGAAAGGTTTCATGCCAAGTAAAGCAACAGTCTTCATATAAACACATGAGTGTGTATGTGTATAAGGCATCCAAATACAACATTGGTATTTGTTAAAAAATAACTTGGGCTATACATAGTGGTGCATACCTATAACTCCAGTACTTGGGAGGCTGAGTCAGGAAGAACTTGAGTTCAAGACCATTCTGGGCTACATACTGAGTTTGAGACCAGCTTGCACTATAGAGCGAGACCCTGTCTCAAAAAATTCAAAAAATAAATGTAATAAATGATTATTTGCCTGATGATGAAGTAGTAATGCAGGTTTAAGTGTAACAAATATTCCATTTTGCTAAGGGATGTTAATATTGTAGGAGGTCATACCTGAGTGGTGTCAGTGGATGTATGGGAAATCTCTATGTCTTTGTCTCAATTTTGCTATTATCCTAAAACCTCTCTAAAAAATGGCTGTTAAAAGTGATCGCTGCAATGTTGAACTGGAAAACTCATCAGAAGAAAATCAACAAATGCAGATTAAGATGGCTTTGATGATATTCCACTTGATAATGGTGTAAATATTTTATGTCTGATGAGATACGCAGAAGCAAAAAAACCTAGGATTTAGGAGAGCATTATTAGGTTCCATATCAAATATGTGATGTCATCAGTTTTACAACAGCAGTATGACCCATGACCCTGGAATGTTCTCACCTCTCGTGCTGAGTGAGTTGCTACTGCTTAGGCTTGTGTTCATTTTCAGAGATGGGTAGAGGTGATATTTCTGGTGTCACGTGTCATCACTGTTAAGTCATCGACGACTCTGTGTTCTAAATATGTGCTTCAGAGGGAAGAACACGAAGAGAAGTCGTTAGGTAGGGGACAGAAACATCTGGCCTTTTGAAGCATGCTTTTTGTGTTGCTCCCGAGTCAGTTCGTGTTTCAGGTCCAATGTTTCCCATGAGGAGTCTGTCTCTTTGATATGACACAGCAACCTACACTTCTGTCTGAAATTTGGGCTAACTACGCCATCATTGCCGTATGAATATAAATTGCTTTGGCAACAGTAATTCGTCCAGTTACTGTTATCCACTTTACCGGGACTCTTCTACTCTCTGCAGTGTGTGTAGGATGGGACGGCTCTTAGCACACATACACGGCAACACATTTCTCTGAATGCTTCAGGAAAACGTCAGAAAAGGGCCTGAGCTCTTCCTTGGCCTTTAATTCTGCTTACCTCATATTGGTTCTGTTTCTGAATCCTTTCATTGTCACAGATTCTATTAAGGCACTAACAATGGAATGATTTTGCCTTATGTAAAAATAAATGGTTCCACGTTATTGACTTTGGAAGCTTGTCACAAAATAAATTGGAATGATACTTTGTGCGTTGTTAAAAAAATTAAAACTTTGGCAGTGCTTTGTGTATCCCTCTAGCCCTTCTTAAAAATCTGAATTGATGAGTTCACAGCTTTTAATGTCCTTATTTTCCACATCTAGTTGCTGAAATTTCTTATTTTTTAATTTGAGAAATGTAGACAACCCTAAAACTGAAATGTACTATACTGATAGTCTTTCTTCAATTCTCAGTGTAGAAGACTGTAAATGCCTAGATGGGATTCTTTTTCTCCAACACAACTGAGCCCTTTTTATCTAGTGACACCCGTAGCACACAGTGGAGAAATTATAATCTTTATTGGGCTAGAGAGAATTAATTTGAAAATAATAATGTCTCCAAAAGTGAATCTGATTTTTGAGATAATTTGCATACAACTCTTTTCATTGGTTTTAACAATATTTTACCATACTGTATTTGTTATTACTTTTGGAATTTAGTTTATGATACCTAGTTAGTCCATTTGGAAATTCACGGGTGAGAATAAAATTTGTTTTGTCTTTTCTTCATAAGCTAAAATATCCATAATTAAATATATAAAAACATTTATTAAGCTTCCTAACAACAAAGTTCGGTTAAAATATTTTTGTGATGATCTGCTTTGTATGTAAAAGCAATAATATCCTTCAGGATGAAGACCATGTATGAAATTTTGAGACACATTCAACACTGAATTATTACTAAGTATCTGTATGATGCAAATCAGTGATGTCTTTGGAACGTTGGAATTCAGTTGACTTTGAGGTGTGTCTGGTGCTGTTTATTGCAAGGCAAAATTAGCAACTATGAAGTTATTTGTGTTAAGATACTCACCATAAGTACTTTTTATATCCAACAAATGTAAAATACAGAAAAGATTCTCAAGAGTATCTTCAAATATTTTGAAGATTTCTAAGGGGTTTTGTCTCATATTATCAAAGAAGCCACTTTCGTATTCTGGATTGGAATGCAGGCTTGCAGTGATTTAAAGGTTAGGTGTGGACAGTATACAGAGAGCTTCACATTTAAACTCTTTGGATTTCTGTGTTTTCTTTGCTTCACCATTTATAAATGCCTAACTTACTAGAATCTCTTTTATTCCTTTCAGATAAATATATTACCAGAAATATATCAGCTTTGCAGAAAAGAAGGATTATGTCAGATAATTAGAAGATTTCCAGGTAATCTTTAGTTTCATTAATTATGAATATGTGTGTGAAATATGTATCCTTAGCAGACATCAACTTATGAGGACTCAGAATGGCAGCTGTAGCTCCTTTGTCTATTTATCCCACTGTCTCACATCTTGTGCAGTCCACAGATTATGTCAATGAGCAGACCTTGATAATAAGTAATACAGGCATAATGCTGTTTTTTTCTTTCACCTTTATCTTGTTGAATTGCTGGATGTATATTACTTTTTCCCTACTCTGTTTGTGTTTAAAATAATTGCTGGCATATTTTAAAATGTATTTTAGTAGCTCTTGGTTATAGAAAATTTGAAGTTTTTAAAAAAATACAGGTTTTTTTCATGATTAAATCATTCTGATCATAAAATTAATTTTTCCTTTCTAAAATCCTCTCACTTATCCATATGTTTAAGACTGGATACAGAGTAAATGACTTCTGTCTTGACTATATTAAGAACTTCAGAGAAAATTACCACCTCCAATTTTCACAGAGGTTCAGCCAGTGGGAAAAAAATCACCAGAGGTACATGAGCCTTTATAGATTAAATAAGCCCTTACTGGTGAAATGATAGCCTGCTTTCAAACACACTGCAGAAGGGATTCTCAAATTTCATGTTTAAAACTCATTTGCTGTTTAATACTTTATGTCCTTAGAAAGTATTTCATTACATAATTAAAATTTAGATCTGCATAACTTTAATTGTGTTTTTTACTAACTTACGTCCCAGTGGAATCAGAAAACTGAAGATGTATCAGCTTTTCCATGGGTTTTGTGTCTCCACATCAAACATAAACCCCCTTGGCATATCCCATTGGAAATTCTACAGAGTCTTGTATTGTCATTTACCAGGAAGTACAATAGAAATGAGTCAGTAATTCAACTCTCAATTTAAAATACATTTCTATGTAAATAGCTGAATAAATTTGGTTTCCATAATTATTGTTTTAAATGATAATTATAAATGACTGTAATCTCTGGGTGTTTTGTAAACTATAGCTGGATAACTTTTCTTCTATAAAGAAGTAATAATTTGTGAAAATTAAAATAATTTATTTCCATTAATACAATATTAATGAATGTCCAGGGTTCCTTTAGTTGTCTGCATTTTGGTTGCAGCCTATGGATTTTTAAAGTCTGTTTTTCTTTTTTATTATTTGTATTTCAGAATGGTTGATTCAGAACACTAAGCTTTTTAGCACTGTAGTTAGCAGAAGAGAATCACAGTTGTGATGTCCTGTTTATAATTTGAAATGAATTATCAGTTTTAAAAATTTATTCGTCTTACATAAATTTAATTTTACTTCCATAAAATTCAGAAATATTTCTGTCTTCTTTTGCTTTTAAACATGGCTTAATCTTAAGAACATTTATAAATTCTAGATATATATAGTCCTTTTCTCACTGTCTAGTGTGTTAATATCCTTTTTTTATCTCTGTGACTAAGACAGTATTTTCATGGAAAATACAGTTTTTTCAATGAAATTGTCTCTCCTATCATATTATCTTTCTTCAGCCAATGATAATTTTCCCAAACATGGAACTTTAAAAGCATGTATCTGCAGCATTATTTTCTGTTAGATTGTATAAAAAGTAGCTTTTGTTGTAGATTGTTACTAAAAATATATGATATGTAATATAAACTCAGTATTCATAAAACTAAACATATTTTGTTTATTGTCAATGATAAAAATGTAAGGGCCAGGGATTTAGCTCAGTGGTGCCGTCACCTGCCTCGCAAGTGCAAGGTCCTGAGTTCAATCCCTGGTACCAAAAAAATTGACATTGAATTCAGATTAGGTAATAATGTACCTAAGTATATGGTATTGTTAGAAAGGTAAGATAATAAAACTAAACATAATACTAAATAATGTTAACATTTTATTTAAAGGCAGACTAGCTCTTTTTTTTTTTTTTTTTTTTTTTTTTTGAGACAGGGTCTCCTTTTGTAGTTCAGGCTGGCCCTAAACTTGCTGGCCTCGAACTCACAGTGATCCTCGAACTCACAGTGATCCTCCTGCCTCAGCCTGCTGAGTGCTGGGATAACAGGTGTGCTCCACCATACCTGGGTAGCCCACTCTGTTTTAAGCTGTGTTTTATTTGGAAGCTGACAAAGCACATATTTTGAAACCAGAGAGTTTTGCTTTGCCACCTTTTAGCTGAGTAATTTAACTTCATGGGGTTTTTGGGGTTTGTTGTTGTTGTTTTAAAGTTGTAGGTAGTGTTAAGAGGACCTATCTCATAGGTTTAATTTTAAATCAGTGAAATCTATATGCATGTGTATTTGTGTATACAGTAGATCCTCAAGTTGTAATTGGCCTGACATACAAATAACTTGTATTAATTAGGTTAATGGAAGATTCATCCACTTCTTGTTATCCATAGCACGTAACCAAGTAAACATAGCTCTAAGCTGTATTGACTTAGTTGCAACCAGCCCTTGGGAACAGATTAAGTTCATAAGTTAAGGGTCTACTCTATATAATTTTATTTGAAGAACAAAACCTATCATACTTAATGCATAATGCTCAAAATTGTAACTTCATCATCCTAGATTTGAATAAGAAGGCTCATAGTACGTAAGATTTTCTTTATTTGCATAATTGATCATCCCCAAAATTTTATGTTTCTGTCAAAAACTGATGCTCCCCAGGCAACCTGCCACAGTTACGGGTATTTGTCAGAGGACATGAGATGTCGAAATCAGAGACAACTGATGCTTTTATTTATGACAATAGCAGTGGGACAATTACAAGCATTTGTACCCTCTACTGATTCCAGGTTCATCTCCTGGCTAGGTGACCTGTAGTGGTGGGCATATCAAGAGAGGAACCCCAAGTTTAGGGAATATCAGTCTTTTATAGTGGGCAGTGACCTTTGGTCCAGAGGAAGATAACAGATTTGTTAGATTTGCCCTCTTTTCTGGAGTGAGGTGCAGTCTGTATTTTTCGAAGGTATCTACTGTATAAATACCTCTGTAAAGATGGTTCAGAATAAAAGTTGTCAGAGACTGTTTAAAGATGTGCAGATGCATGAAAGTTGCATAGAGATGTGTCTCCAGCAGTTTCAGAGAACACCTGATAAATTTTGCCTCGGAAGCACGATCAATGTATAATTCTGAGCAAGATTTAAAGTCTAGTCGTGCTTCACTTTGCTGATCTGTAAAAAATACTGAATTGCAAAATGGTCAATAATCCCGAGACGCTATGATTCCATTACACCTTTTCTCCATAAAGACTTGCTGTCTGTTCCAGGCAAGGTAGAGAAAAAGGTGCTAATAAAAGAAGCTGATCTTACTGGTGAAGGTAGTTGGGGCCACGCATGTGAGGTGGGACAGTTTTGACTAGTTGCAGAGGAAGGAATGGAGACAACATGTAAGGCTAACACAGTCTGTTCCTTCCATAGCCAAACAGTGTACCCGACCTTAGACTTGTGACTCACACAGAAGGGCACACATCCATGGAAATTTTACTGGCTAGCACGAAGATTTATCTTTATCTCTCCATGTAATGTTTTGCCTTTGAAAAAGCATTTTATGATATTTAGCTAGTCCAAACTTGTTGGTCGTGCTTGTTTTGTTTTGTTTTATAAAAAAGAATTGCCTTCCCACATTTGAACTAAAAGTATAAAAGAACAAACAAGAGAACTGTTTTCGTTGGGTTGTGAAATGTTATTTTTGTTCTTTTTAGTGCTGCATCATCGTCCAAGAAGTCCTGGTTAGAAGTGTGCCAAAGGCCATAACTCATTCTTTTCAGTAGTTTTATCTTAATTCTAAACCCTGGCTCTCATGTGAAGTTTGAAATATACTGAGATTTGTCTCAAAGATAACACCGAACCTTTGAGAATCTATGTGTTCATTTCTAAAATAATATGTGAGTACATAAAGAAAAAGGGATGTAATAGATAAAATTTATCACTTTCATTGAATCTAAAGATGTGGCTTAAAAATTTTCAGGTATTTCCCACCAAATATAAAATATACTATTAAAAGAAATTATTTAAAAATATTGTTCAATAAAAAGTCACTTATCTGAGGTGGCACTGACAGTAACGTTCTGATATTCCAGATCTAATATTCTCAGTAGAGAAGGCCAAAGTTTATATGTTCTCAAATCCAGACATCCTCTCTGTTTGTTTTCTGTGGGATTCTTGGTGATTCTCTCATTTCAGAGACTCTCCCTTTCTGTGCCACACATGATTATATTTTTTATGCAAAACATTTTCCCCCAAGCAAAACTCTCATCTCTTTAGTATGACTGACTTTAGTGAGGTGATAGCAGAAAGTAAGCTGATGGAACTAATTCAGACTAAATTACACCCTTACCCTAGTCATAAGCCTCTTAGATATATTTGCATTTTTGTAAAAGAAGCTTGCAAACCCAGTGAATTTCTAATTAGTAAAATTTCTGCAAGTAAATTCAAATTCCTATTCAATTTCTCAGCAAACCAAAGCCTACTGAATCCATCCACTTTCTTCCATCTCTACAATGATTGGTCCAGTTCACTCAATGCTCTCTCTCTTTTCCTCCTTTTTTGCTCCTGTGTCTAGTATTTATCCAGACTGTAACAAAAGAGTTTTTATCCCCACTTCATAAATAAATGAAACAAGCCTATCACATTTGCTCAGAGAAGTCTAGTGACAGAAACAACGAGGCAGGCCCAAGTAACCAGCCTTCTGAGGCTGTGGTTTGATTCTAGATTTTATCTGGAAAAAGAGTCAAACACAAAATGTTTAGAGGGGTAACATATGATGTAGCAAATCTCTACTGAATTCAGGGGCTTGAGAGGCTAGATAATCAGTACCTTTTCAGGATTCGGCCTGGCATTAAATGTAAAAACTCTTTAACCAGAGTTCAATCCTCGGTACCAAAAAAAAAACAAAAAACAAAAAACAAAAAAAAATCCTCTTTAACAGAAGTCTTTAGTGCCTAAGAAAACAAACCAAGAAGAGTTGAAGACATAGCAGAGGACAAGGCAGTACCAAGTGTCCCTA